AACCCCCAAAAAAAAAAAAAAAAAAAAGTTTGGGACTATAACTTAAAATCTGGGTACTGGATTAAAGACAATGCCCCCCCCCCCCCCCTTCCCTTTTCTCCTGCTCCTGCTCCTGCTCCGCCCTCCCCGTCCCTGCCCTTCCTCCTCCTCCTCTCCCCCCCCTCGTCCATTCTGTCAAACACCGATGCTATCACCATCTCGTTTGCTTCTCGCTTCTCGCCTTTCCTCCTCTGCCTCTCACTGCTGCTGCTGCTGCTGCTGCTGCTGCTGCTGCTGCTGCTGTTGCAGCTGCACTCTTCGCCCGTCCTAACCCCGTGACCTCAGATTTTGAACATCCCCAACGTGGACGCAACTTTCGCAACAGCTCCTGAGTTCTGGAATGTTCTCCTCCGAGGAATCGTCAAGGTACCTGCTGCTGCTGCTGCTGCTGCCGGTGCCGGTGCTGGTGCTGGTGCTGCTGCTGCTGCTGCCGCTGCTGCTGCTGCTGCTGCTGCCGCTGCTGCTGCTGCTGCCGCTGCCGCTGCCGCTGCCGCTGCCGCTGCCGCTGCTGCTGCTGCTGCTGCTGCCGGTGCTGCTGCTGCTGCTGCTGCCGGTGCCGGTGCTGGTGCTGGCGCTAGAGCTCCTAATCTGCATGCCCCCTTGCAGCTGCATGGCTCGATCAACATTTCCTCCTCTCACTTGCCGCAGGTCATCCCGAGGAAGCTTCTCTCGGATCGTAGCTTTGCATCCAAGGTGAAGTTGCAACAGTTCTCTGCTTCTCCTTCACCTGTCGTCGATTTTCTCTTCTCTTCTCTTCTCTTCTCATCTCATCTGTTCTGTTCTGTTCTGTTCTTTCATCCTCATTTCTCTTCTTGGCTTACTTTCTGTTTTTCCTGCTCAGTTTGCCGCAATTTCGTTGCCAATCAACAGACTCGTCGACGTAATATTCCCGCTGCTGCTGCTGCTGCTGCTGCTGCTGCTGTTGCTGATTTCACACTCCCTGCCTTCTCCCTCCTTCTCATCGCCTTCCTTGTTCTTTCCAACCCTTTGCTCCTTCCTTTTCGCTAGTTCACTTCCTCTCAGGCTATTGTGGGCAGCTCAGCAGCCATCAGGATCGACGTAGAGGACAAGAATCAGCAGACGGTCATGACCCTTCCCCTTCCGTGCCTTTTTTCACTCCCTCCTCCTGTGTCTCTTCTATCCTCCCCCCCCCCTCATCTTCTTCCTTTCCTCTCCTCCCTCCATTCCCCTTCCTCCTCCTCTTCCCATTTTCTCTGTCCCCCTTGCTACATCCCCCCCCCCTTTCTCCTCCTCCTCACCATTGCTTCAGCTCTCTTCTATTTGGTATGGCAGGTATCTCAACCAGGCAAGTCTTCCCTTCTTCTCCACTCTTCTCCTTCTCTTCTCCCTCCCTCTCACTCCTCCTCCATCCTACTAGACACCTCCCGGATCTCCTCTTCCTGCTCGACCTCCTTACCATCAACTTCGCTCCTCATCCTGCTCGTGCTCCTGCTCCTCCTCTTCCACCTACATTCTCCTCCTCATGATCAGCAGGCCGTCGGTGTTGCCACCGCCGCCATGGCCATGGAGCTGCTGGAGCTTCAGGGCCTGCCGGCAGGAGTTTTCTACCCTGAGGAGCTCGAGATGATCGCGCCTGGTCGAGAAGAGGTGCCTCCCCCTCCCCCTCCCCCTTCCTGCTCCTCCTCCCCCTTTCCGTTTTCCTCCCTCCTGCTCCTCCTCCCCCTTTCCGTTTTCCTCCTGTTCCCTTCCTGCTCCGTCCTCTGCCCTCCCCATCCTCTTTCCATTTCTTCCCCCTCCCTCCCCAGACTCTTTGCCCCCTCCTCCGCGTTTCTCGTTCTTCTCCTCCTCCCAGTCCCCTCTCGTCCTCTTTCTCTCGCAGCAAGCTGAGGGGTATCAGGTGTTTCTTGCTCGGGCGAGTAAGGACGGCAAGACCAACAGGGAGAGGGCGGCGGACGCAGCAGCGGCGACGATGGAAGGACGATGATCATGGAGGCTGTGAGAGGAAAAGGGTGAGAAGAAGAACAAGGACGGGAGACTGGAGAGACAATGAGAGGAGGGGAGAAGTGAGAGCAGGAAGGAAAGCAAAAGAAGGAGATTGAGAGACAAGTACAACAACGTTGCAAACATAAAAAGACAGGCGATGAGGACCATGACATGGCAGGGAGACCTTGGACTTGTTTTGTTCTTGTGCCACCTTCACGGCTGACTCCATCTTCTTGCATTCTTTGAGGAGAGTGAGAAAACAGCCTCAGAAAATTTCCATTCCATATCTCCCCCAGCCCTCCTACATCTCTACCCGTCCCCGTTTCCTCCCTCTCCCCCTCTCTTCCCCCCTCCGTCCCTCGTCCTCGTCCTCGTCCTCGTCCTCGTCCTCGTCCTCGTCCTCGTCCTCGTCCTCACCTCTCCGAAGAAGGTCGATCAAGGATTCTGCATCCTTCCATCGCTTCTCTGCGACGTTTCTGCTTCCTCCATCACTACCAACAGCACCACTCATCATCCTCGTCGACCTGAGTCTTGTCTGAACCTCCAGATCTTGTTCCAGCTGTCTCGATCGCATCAGGGACGATGCGAGCGCTGCCTCTGCTTCACTAGCTGTCGAAGGTGTCAAAGTGAGGAAGAGAAGGATTCGATGACTTGAACTTCTCTCCTGTTTTTCCTCTCTGCTTTCCATAACTTTCACCATCTACCGTATCTTTCTTTCTTTCCACAACTTGCTTTCTTCAGGTATACTTCTTCTCTCTGCTGTTCTGTTCTGTTCTGTTCTGTTCTGTTCTGTTCTGTTCTGTTCTGTTCTGTTCTGCCCTCGTCTCGCATTCCAACCTGGGTCTTTCTCTCGAGATGTGGCAGCTGACAAGCTCGGCGTGACATCCTGTTGAGCTGCATCGAACAATGTTTCATCAAGTGACCAGCAAAAGCTATAACATCTGCAACCTCGCTTTCCTTCGGACTGACAAACAACGGTCAGTTCTCATGACACGAGAGATTTCACCTACCTTTGAAGTTTCACTTTGAGCTTTTGACCTCTCGGCATCTGACAGCTCCTGAAATTTTCATCAGTTCCTCTCCTTGTCTAATCTCACGGAAAGTACCGTCTGAGCTTTCTCTGATCTGACTTTGTCTTTGACAGCATTCTTGTCGTCGTTCTCGCTCATCAGCTCTTTTCGCTCTCCAGCTTCACAATACATCACGCCAAGTAGCAACGGGAAGACACAAATCACATTGATCGTCTGTTGAAGTAGACGTTTCTTGCACACTCTTCTTCTGATTGACTCTCAATGCCATGTGAATACAATATGACTCACTCACCTCATCAACCTTCCCTTTATGCTCATATTCTTTCATCGCGCTCTGCAAAGAATGAACCAATCAGAATATCGACCAATCAATCGCCATCATCATACTCGTCGTCATGGTTATCATCGTCACCACCACCACCACCATCGTCGTCGTCATCATCATTACGATCACCATCAACATCACCATCATCATCATCATCACCATCGTCATCATCGTCATCATCGTCATCATCACGATCGTCATCGTCAACGTCATCCCACCTCCAGCCGAAGAACTTTCCGTCGAAGATTCGCCTCACTCTGAAGTAAGGGTTTTTCTCACCAACCACGTCTTGAGGTTCATCACAATCTCAAGTTGTCACCTCCATGTATTGATTGCGAGCTTTCGTCATATTTGCCAGCTTGTCAAACCAAGATTGTCAATCCAAATCGCTTCAGGCGCTGCTGACGTCATACCTCCTCCTTCAAGCTCTCTTTAGTGACAGTGAGGAACGAATTCTCCCCTTCCAGTCTCTCTGTGAGATGAATGTGAGCGTGCAAGAGTCAGCGTTATGATGTAGCAATACTGATGAGAAGGTCTTTTTGACTGAGCTCGAACAATCGCTGCTTGTTCGAATCTTCCAGCGCCATTTGCAGCCTGACAACTCGCAAATCACTCCGCGCAGTGCTAGTCACACATCGTACGCATCGGAAGCGCTCTCGAGCTTGACGAGCCGATCTTTTGCAAAGGAGTAGAAGGATCAAGACATGATGGAGCTTCAAGAAACATCTGCACCTTCTAGCAGATTGCAATAGTTCAGGTAAACGTCAGAAGCTTGCTCCTCCATCTGACTGCACAAATGTTCACATGTCCTGTCAGCCCTCAAGACAGAACAACCTCGCATGCACTCGTTCAAGATCGCGATAAGCTCGAAACGCAATATCTTGCAGCTGCGAAAGGATCTTGGAAGGAATGTTCGACCGCCCGTCTCCTCTTGGTGCTTGCTGCTGTACATGAGCAACCGCAAGAAGCAGAGTCAACCACCTTCTCGGCCTCCTCCTCCTCTCGTCTTGCAGGCTGTGAAGACAAGGAAGGTCCCTGATACGGCAGCATCACGTCTCCGCTGCTTCCTCCTCCTCCTCCTCCTCCTCCTCCTCAACCTTATCTTTCAGATGCTTCAGCTCCATCTCCAGGAACTTGACTTGTTGTCGAAGTTCTCGCATGTACCTGACAGACCAGATCCTCAGATCTCTGATCATCTCCTCTTTCTTTCACTCACTCCTTCTCCACCATGCTGACCGCTGTCTGGGTCGGACACTTCTCAAACCGGACCGCGTCTCCCACCATGCTTTCCATCGACTTCCGAATCTCTTGCTTCATGGGCAAGCTGCTGCGGGAGGCTCATGCGATCTGAACCCTCCTCCCATCGTCTTTCTTGCAGTCTTGTCAGGAGGCATCGTCCCGCTTCTTGGAGGAACAACAGCTGCCATTTCTCGCTGCAAAACATCGATATCACTGAGAATTCCGCTGAATGTTCAACCCTCATCAAGGATTTACACCCTTCATCCTATCATCCGTCTTGGTCTCCTGACTGGTTCGAATTCTTACAAGCACCAAATGTCGTCTGCTTTGATTCCTCTAGTTTGCGTTCAAGCAGCTTAAAACAACTTGTGTTTGTTCCACTAATTCGTAACTGTCCTCCATGGATTTGGTCTTCGCTTGTGCAGATTCTAGTCTCCATCCACTTCATGACTCCTCCTCATTCTTGTTGACACACGAGACACAACTCTGACTTTTCCTCCTCCTCATTCTGCTCCTTCTCCTCCTCCTCCTCCTCTCCTTCGTCCTACCCTTCCCTCCCACACTGCATGGGCCGACATATTGTCCGGCCGGAAAATCTTATTGCTCAATTTAAGAGACAAACATTAAGTTAATGCTATTATATGAAATTAACATTAATATTACCCATAATAAGCTTAAAATAACGAAAATTAACACTGATAATAAAATATTAATATTATTTTCACGAATTTTCGCGTTGAAATTGCCCAACCAATCCAAGAATGGCGGCCGCGACCGAAACTGGAGCAGAGGAACAGCGAAGACGATGAAGACGATGAAGACGATGAAGACGATGAAGACAATGGCTATGAATCGAAAGAGGACAAGAGCTGGCATGACTAACATGTTGATCTTGTTGATACTTGGGAGTGTGAGCAAAATAGCATGTTGGTCGGTGATTGTGGACTCCTCGGGTTTCCTTCCTTCTAGCCGCCTGTCTATCAGGACGAGAACGCAAGTCGATCATGCCGCATGCTCTCTTGCTCCTCGACGAGTCTCTCTCTCTCTCCCTAGAGTCTGCATGAATGTCGAGCAAGAGCCGTCGCCAGCGTCACATGTGCTGGGCACTCCGAGGGAAGGAGACTCGGTAGTCTGAAGAGGGAGGAGGAAGATGGGCTGACGGCAAGAGCAGAGCTCTCCTCTTCGTGCTAGGGCTCTTGACGAAGCTTTGAGAAGGCTGGGGGAGGTGAGGAGGAGAGAGGACTCGAAGATGGAGAGTGGGAAGAAGAGGACAGGGATATAGAAAGATTGAGAGCTCCGGCTGGAGATGAGATGAGAGGATGATATGATCGCAGAACCCTGAAGATATTCTGTCCGACATGTTTCAGGGAACTCCAGCAAAACGAGCATACATGAGGTTTGCTGTCGTCAGCTGCTCGAGAGTTTTGACACATCAGCATCAGTTATGTGAATCCGAGGGCAAACAGGACGCCCAACAATGTTGAGACCATGGAGGAGAGCGCAGCCCGGACGGCAAAGCAGGTGAATTAAGATGATGATGCTGTGACAATGATGATGATGATGATGATGATGATGATGATGATGATGATGATGATGATGATGATGATGATCATGGTGGTGATGGTGATGGTGGTGGTGATGGTGATGGTGGTGGTGGTGGTGGCGAGGGCAACGGGTTGAAGGATCGTTGCTTGCAGGTTTCGTTTCTCATGCGTGAGCACCGAGCGACACTCGCAGACTATTTGAGGAACGTCGACGCTGCTAGACAAGAGCAGGAAAGCTTGGGATTAGAACCACATCCCATCACACTGGTCGGTCTAAGTGAAACACTGCTGACAGTAAAAGTAGTGGTGGTTGTGGTGGTGGTGGTGGTGATGATGATGATGGAGATGATGATGATGATGATGATGATGATGATGATGATGATGATGGATATGATTACGATGATGATGATAATAACAATGATGATAGCGATGAAGAGGTCTACATGGAGGATGATTGTGACAAAGATTCTGATGATGATCATTCCAGGTTCTTGACAACGTCAGATCAGTTTACAACGTGGGAAGCATTTTCGGACAGGCGAGACCGCACGAGTGAAAGAGGTCTTCAGTGTCTCCTTGATTGTGTTTGTGTTTTCTCATCTCATCAGCTGCCGATCAACAGGTTGTGACTTGCGGGTTTACTCCCCATCCTCCGCATGAGAAGCTGTCCAAGACAGCTCTCTCTGCCATTGAGTTCGTTCCTTCCCGTCACTTTGAAACTACTGCAGAAGCTATCAGGGTAGAAGTTGATGAAATGATTGTTATTTCGATGGTGGGGGAAGAGAGAGGAGATGCTGCTGCTGCTGCTGCTGCTGATGATGATGATGATGATGATGATGATGATGATGATGATGATGATGATGACGACGACGACGACGATGATGATGATGATGATGGATGATGATGATGATGACGACGACGATGATGATAATGATGATGGATGTTGATGATGATGACAACGACGATGATGATAATGATGATGGATGTTGATGATGACGACGATTATTCGCAGGTGTTGAAGAGTGAGGGGGTTCACATCATCGGGATGGAGACAACTTCTCGCAGCAAGAGCTATGTTCGTCTCTCGTATCCTCAACCTTGCGCTCTCGTCCTCGGCAACGAGCTCACAGGGATCTGCACTCAGGTGATGAGATTTCAGATGAAGATTTCAAAATTGTTCAGTTGAAGATTTGAAAGTGCTGATTGAAGATCTGAAAGTGCAAATGAAATTCTGACTGTGATTGCACTTGTTGAGACGATACGATCAAAGTCTGAAAATATCAGTGCCCATTTTGTTCAGGATGACTTGTCTTGTCTTCGTGATTGTGAACTTTTACCATCTTGTTGCAAGTTGTTGCAAGTGTGTTCCACCAATATCATCTTTAACATGTTTATGTGATTGTCTTGCAGGTAATGCAGGATTGCGACGAGCTTGTTGAAATCCCAACCTTCGGCGTGAAGGTACGAACAACTTTCAACTCTCATCTCCTTTTGCTCACTTGACGCACAAGAACTCGCTCAACGTTGCGTCAGCCTGTCCAGTCGTTGTGTTCGAGGTGCTCCGACAGTGGGGAAAGATGTGAAGGACAAGCAAGAGGAGGAAGAAGAGGAGGGGCAGAGTAAGAGAGGAGGAGCAGGATGAGGACGAGGAGCGACGAAGGAAGGAAGGAGGAAGAGGAGGAGCAGGCAGAAGGAACGAATGGGGGTCAGCAGGGAGGCGGGGAAGAGAAGTGAAGGAGGAGGAGGATCTCGTTGGTTGTAACATGTGCTTTTATGTCTCATCGTAACGTCGTTGCCGCCAACTTGTCATGTCTCGATGTCAACAAAGACTTGAGCCTCTTGAGCGCAGCCTGCAGGCCTGTAAGAGGAGGAAAGACGAGTCGGTGAGGAAGGGAGGGAGAGGAGGGGAGAGAAGAGGAGAGAAGAGGAGGGAGGGAGGGAGCAGAGCAGAGCAGAGCAGAGCAGAGCAGAGCAGAGCAGAGGAGGTTGAAGGAGGGAGGGAGGGAGGGAGGGAGGGAGGGGGAGGTTTAACGTGCCTCTCTTCCATCCTTTGCAAGATGCATGATGGTCTGTCGCTGCTTCTCAACCGTATCCTGCGGTGACGTCAGCAGAGAGGTTGGGGGGGCGAGGGAGGAGGAGGGAGGGAGGAGAACAGGAGGGAAGGAGGAGAGGAGGGGGGAGGAGAAGAGGAGGGAAGGAGGGAGGAGGAGAGGAGGGAGGGAGGAGGAGAGGAGGGAAGGAGAGCGGAGGGAGGAGGAGAGGAGGGAGGGAGGACAGAACAAGAGAGGAGGTGGAGGAGGGGCATGGGAGTAAGGTCCGTTACCTCCTTCATGGACTTCTCCTTCCAGAAGTCTACGAGCGGAGAGATGATGTCCGAGTGGGCGGAGAGGGAGGGGGAGGAGTCGACTGAAGCCTCGAGTGCCTTAAGGTTTTCATGGCAACGTTGACACCCTCGACGATAGCCGCGCGGAGAGACTGAAACAGTGTCATGCAGAGTCATCCCTCGTCCTCCATCATTCGCTCCCCTTACCCTGCCTCTCCTCCACAGCCTTTTGCTCTCTCCCTCCCCTCTTACCTTCATCATCTTCTTCATCGCTGCATGCGTCGCTCCCACCCGCTCGCTCTTCTTCCCGCCTGTCGCGTTCAACTTCGCCACCCACCAGCTCAGGCTCAGCTCGGCCCAGAGGAAGGGTCGCATCCCCCAGAACGCAAGGCCCTCCACCACCAACCCCACCACCATCCCCAGCTGAGTCGAGTTGGAGCTCCTGGTGGCCTCCTCCTCCAAGGAGCTCATGGTCCTGGAGCAGAGAAGCTCTAGAGTCTCCCCCAGCTTGACAAGCTGATCGTTCGCTGCCTCCTCCAGCGCCTGTACACCTCTCACTTCCTCTTCCTCCTCCTCCTCCTCCTCCTCCTCCTCCTCCTCCCCTTCCTCCTCCTCCTCCTCCCCTTCCTCGCTCTCCTGCAGCTCCTCCTCTCACCTCATCCTTCTCCATACTCGAGAAGCACGCGGCAAGGTGCAGGTGGAGCCTCGCGAGCTGAGTGCAGAAGTTCCATCCCTGAAGGACAGACAGCTTGAGGGAAAGGGAAAGCAGAAGCGGGAGGAGGAAAAAGGAGAGGAGAGGAAGAAGGACGGGAGAAGGGGAGGACAGGAGGAGGAAAGGACTAGAGGAGGAGAGGAGGAGGAGGAGGAGGAGGAGGAGGAGGAGGAGATGATTTCTACCGCGATGCAAGCTGGCGTCTCGCCGACGACTCCCTCGCACAGGAAGGAATCGACGTCTTGCAGTCTCTTCTCGTTTGACAAGCTCAACTTCTCCAGCTCTACCCCAGCTGCAGTCACGCCCTCCCTCCAGCCCAGCTGACACATGCTCTCCTCGATGGAGGTGAGGAGAGAGTCGAGAGGAGGAGCGACGGAGGGAGCGGCCTCGAGGATGTGGGCGAGCAGGTACGGCATGCAGGAGGCGACGTAGACCTGATGAACCCCAGGGTCAGACGCAGTGAAGACGCAAGAAGTCAAGGAGGTGGAGGAAGGGAAGTGAAGGGGAGGGGAGGGAGGGAGCAGCGAGGGGAAGGAGGAGAAACATTGGAAGGGCAGGAGGGAGAGAGGAGGGCAGCGAGTGGTGAGGGGGGCGGCAAGGAGGGTGCGAATGACCTGCTGTCTCAGTCTGTTGAGACCTCCTTCGCTCCTCTGCTGCAGACTTGAAGACGTCTTCTTGAGGTCGTTCCATGTGACTTCAACCTGCATTACCTTGTCAGGATGATGATGATGATGATGATGATGATGATGATGATGATGATGATGATGATGATGATGATGATGATGATGATGATGATGATGATGATGATGATGATGATGATGATGAAGATGAATGATGAATGATGATGATGATGATGGTGATGGTGATGGTGATGGTGATGAGGATGAGAGGTTTCAGCCAGATCGACCATGAATGTTGCCGACAAATCATTATGATCAATCTCAAGTATCTTGTCAACGTTGTTGTCGTCCTCCACTTCCTCCACCTTCTTCCTTCTACCTCCCCCCCC